ACTACTAGTACTACGAGTACTACCAGTACTACTACTACTACTACTACTACTACTACTATCAGCATGACAGTGCAAAGTGACGAGATGCCAGTGGCACAGGAGGTGCCGCGAAGTTCCTATAGCTTCACGTGTTGTCAAGTCGTATACATATACACACAAGTACAGATAGAACATAATTTGATCTCTCTCTCTCTCTCTCTCTCTCTCTCTTTGCTGACCAGCTAGGCTTTCGAAAACGCCGAAAGCCAAAAACGACGGGTTCAAGAGACACGTCCTAAAGGCCTTATCAAGTCCCATGGTTGCTCGATTGCTGGGCTGTAGCAGCAGGTCTTGGGGTATCATACCACCGCGGACGCAGAAGCTCGGAATGCATTTACAGATGGCACGTGTCAGTTGCATGCTGTGCCTGCTTTGCTACAGGCGCCAAGTACCACTGCGGCACCTGGAACTAAACATTGCGGCATCACTTTGAACAGTGCTGACTACCTTGTCACATCTGTTTAGCAGCTGACAACTTTGTTTCTATGGTTTTTCTCTGCCTGAAACGTTTTGTTCCTCTCTCCCTCGTCCCCTGGGCCACCCATGCAGGCTTGGAAGTTGGAAGTCCAAGCTACAGATGCGCCGTAGCCATTTGGGCAAACAGGCACAGACAAAGGGCCAGGCCACTTTTAGACTTACCATGGCCCAACCAGGGCAGAAGCGCTTGGTCGACCGAGCCTACCGCTGGTTGGACAGTTTCCACAACGTGGAGCCGGAGCGTGCGCCATCGAAGATCGGCTGTGCCTTGACGCTGCTGCTGATGCCTGTCGTTCTTGTCTACGTCGTCGTGTGGGTGATCCAGCATGAAGCGCAGCCTCCGGTGGAAAGCATGGTGATCGACTGGTCAATTTTAAGGGGCCCTTTCCCGATGAAGGTTCAGTGTGAGCAGGCCAGCTGCTGGATGTGGATATCAGGGTGCACGAGCGGCAGCTCTGATCAATGCGTTGCCCTATCCAGTGGAGAGGAGAGAACCGTAGAGATGTGCTACGCCATCGGCGCCAGACACGGCATGCACATGTGGTGGAGCTCCCCAAACAGCACTGACCCGGCTGCTGCGGGAGTCAAGATCGTCTCCGAAGCGCTGAACGCAGAGACGTCCCAACTCGTTGAGCCTGGCAGGTCCTCAATGACATATGTCAGGACGCACGACACCACAGAGCAAGAGGGAAGCTACAAACATCTTCGAAACGAGTGGTTCGTGAGCTACCTGTCCTCGGAGGCTCTGGAACCTTCACACCAGGGCTGTCGAAACCTTGTCACGGCCAATGCCAACATGGCACAGGTGGTCATGCGCCCCGAGTTCTACGACAAAAAGATCGAGAAGATGGACTTGTGGGTTTCCGTGATCGGTGACTTAGTAGCAGAGTCGGAAGCCTTGAACCCTTTTTGGGGAAGCATCATCCCTATAGAATCCCACAGGGTAGCTTTAAGACTTTAAGTTCATTTGGCATTTCCCGGCTGACGAACAGAGTCCTGGATGCAAAAAGTTCGTTTGGCATATTGGACAAGTAAGGTGAGGCAGGTGGTGCTTTCGGGCTGTTTCAGACTGGCTTCTTCGCGTTGTACCTGCTCCTCTGGTACTTGCAGGATGCCCAGAAACCGAAGGACGGTGTAGCGACGACCGGTGTCTCAGACATGCACCGCAAGGCAACAGACGCCTTCTCTCAAGACGTCGAGAGAGCAATCATCTGAGCCATTTTTGCTAGGAGCTTGTCCTGGGCTCATGAGCTGAAAGCTCGCCCACGACCATTCCTTATACTAAGGATCCTACTAATTTGGGGTACTATATTAGGGTCCCCTCTTTTCGGAAACCCCCCATATCGCCGCAGTTAGACGGATGGCCTACTGTGTGCGTGCCTTGTTCACGTCTGGGCATGCAATTAGCAACTGCTGGGCAGGACCGGGATTTTCTCGAGAGGTTGTGCCGTTTTCTCACGGCATCGTCAGCTTCAGGGTCCGAGCATTAAGCGCTTTTTCAGTGAATTCACGGAACTGAAATTTGAGAAAGTCCTGTCCCTCGTCAAGCCGAAAACATGACCTTTCTCAATTTTGCAGTGTGGTCGGACTTTGGTGCAGCATCAGTACCATGTGCACCTCAGGTTGTGTCGCGCACCAATAAAACCAGGAGAACATCTTTCCCAAAATGAACCCTAATTGGTGCTTCCAAGCAGCATTACCCGTCATTGCCCTTTTCCATTGGAGTGGGCTTTGTGGAGGGATGCTCCCTACAGTAAACCTTTGACCCTAAACCCTATGCTGCAGCTCGCAGACCTCTGACAGCTGCAAAATGTCAGGATGTCAGAGGCTTCCGTCCTCGCTGCAAATGCGGCCAAAAGCTGCTGTCTCTCGTTTCGGTTCGAGGGTTTAGGGTGATAGTTAGTAATGCTATGTCCTTGTAGTTCGCATCATAAGCTTATACTACAAGATGCACCAAAACCCTGCCTATTCTACTTTTACTTATAGTTTAAGGGGATGTTCAGCTTGTGCTTGTGCGTTTGTTTGTTGACGCGAGTCCCGCCGCCGACATTCCAGTAGAAACCTCCCCGTAGTCCTGATTCGACCCAAGAAACCTCATCCGTCAGTATCCTAGTTACGAGATGGCAAGGCCACTATAGCAATCAGCTTCCGATGAATCCATGGCCCTAGCCTTTCGGAGCCCAGTAGAACGCACAACACCTGTCATTTATCGTGGGATAGCTACCAATTCTCTCTAGACTAAACACCCTCACAACCAAGACAGCAACAGCAAAGCCTCAATGCAAATCCTCAACCCTCGCAACCAAAACAGCAAGTTCAAACCCCCTATTTATTCTTTTTTTATAGATTAAGGGGATGTTCAGCTTGTGCTTGTGCGTTTGTTTGTTGACACGAGTCCCGCCGCCGACATTCCAGTAGAAACCTCCCCGTAGTCCTGATTCGACCCAAGAAACCTCATCTGTCAGTATCCTAGTTACGAGATGGCAAGGCCACTATAGCAATCAGCTTCCGATGAATCCATGGCCCTGGCTTTCCGGAGCCCAGTAGAACATACAACACCTGTCATTTATCGTGGGATAGCTACCAATTCTCTCTAGACTAAACACTCTCACAACCAAGACAGCAACAGCAAAGCTTCAATGCTAAATCCTCATCCCTCGCAACCAAAACAGCAAGTTCAAAACCCTCAACCTCACACCTCACACCCGTGAGCCTTGTATCAACTGCAGCTTAGGATCCCGCACTTAGATCCCGGTACGCATTTCTTGCTTTGGCCGGCTGCCAAAACTACAATGATGCTGCTTGCCTTCGATTGTTGGTATGGAGATCTTTTGTCGCTGCCCATGATGCACTTCCTTTTGTAGCTGCAGTCGCACGTCGTAGAATGCATATGCATCGAAAGATGTTGAAAGTTAGATATGCACCTACTAAGCCAGTTACCCATGGTATCGCGTGTTGCTTGTAAAAACTGACTTCCATCGCGCGAGTTGGAACTCAGGGCAAGTCTCCCTAAACCCTGAACCCTCATTGATCTTTCTTGCATGCCAGACATATCTGAACATACCCTGCCATTTGGGCTCGTCCAAGCCATGTAGGGATGGAAAAACCCATCATTGATGCTAGCGCCTAATGACTACGAGGATCCTGAAGTCCATTGCGATGTTTAGGGGTTAGGGTTTAGGTTTTAGGGTTTAAGGGTTTAGGATGTAGGGTTTAGCCTGTGGAAAAGGATGTAGGGTTTAGGGTTTAGGTTTTAGGGTTTAAGGGTTTAGGGTTTAGGGGATTTAGGGTCTAGGGTTTAGGACCTATTGTGATGTTTAGGGGTTAGGGTTTAGGGGTTATAGGACTTTTGGGGTTATAGGGGCTTAGGGTTTAGGCCAGTTTAGGAGGTAGGGGTTATTGGATCTTGAAGGTTCTTGATCTTTCTTTAAGATAGGTCTTGGGATCAAGTGACCTAAGAAGTCGGTTGTAACGAGGCTAAGAAGCACCTTTCTTGGTTCACCGTACGTACTTCTGAAGTTTGCTTATAAGGATTTTCTAGAACATCCCGACAACCTCAAGCCCTAAACGTGTCAAATCCTGAATGTCACAGCAGCTTTAGTTTTTGAGATTTTGACCTTCAGTTCCCCTGAAGGCGACGGGGCCTGCATGCTTAAAGATACTTTATAGGACTGTAGGAGTTAGCATCCTTTGAACTAGCAATTAAGGGACAATAGGAGGGACCCCTAGCAGGGACCCCTAATCCTAATACCCTATATAACCCTTATATACCCGTTATGTGTCTCATAAAGCCCCTATATAACCCCAAGGGTCCCTTTAAGGGTCTCTCCTTTAGCCCCTTGAAACAAGGAACACAACTTCATCATCCTCTAAGAGTAAGGTTGTCTGCAACTGTCCCCTTCAGGAACTCGGTGAGTTTCGGGAAGGGGTAAGCAGTAGAGGCCCCAAGCCACAAAGCCCTGAACCAACCAAAAAGCCGGATTGCTCCGAGCTCTGCTACAAGGAGTTCCCCTAAACCCTAAACAACCCTAACTCTGGTATAAGGATAAACCCTAAACCCTATAAGGAGTTCAGCGGTGGTACGAAAGGGTTTCAGGGGGCCATAAGCCCTAATTTAGACGATCATGGGGCTCAAAGTTTTGATGCTACTTGGTTGGGGTTTAGGGTTCAGGGTTCAGGGGTTTAGGGGTTTAAGGGTTTAGGGGTTTAGGGGCTTGGGGTTTAGGGTTTAAGGGTTTGGGGTTTAGGGTTTCAGGATACCCTTCTACAGCAATATCCTGAGCCGGCAAGGCGGAAAACCCTCCGATCCCTGTCGCACCTGTGTAGATCCCTCTACAGGACCTCAGGCAGCAGCAAGAAACCAAGGCCCAACACCTTAAACCCAGAAGTCGTGAAATCCGACACTCAATCAACTGCAAGTAGTGGAAGGGGCGAAAACCCTAAACCCTGGGAAAAAACTGTACCCTGCAATGCGGGCTCGTCTTAGCAAGGTGGGAGGCAACAAAAACCAACAAATCCCACAAAACCTTAAACCTTCAACCCTAAATCAACAAATCCCTACGAAGTCCCACCAAAAACCCAAAGCCCTAAACCCTAAACCCTAAATTCCAAAAACCCGAAGCCCCGAGCATAGCCCCCTGAGCAGATCAGGCTGAGGGTCCCCTCTGTGCCAGTGGCCCTCCCGACATCAGGACAACGACGGGGTTTAGGGTTTGGGGTTTAGGGTTTATAGGGTTTGGGGTTCGGATTTAGGGTATAGGGTTGGGGGTTTAGGGTTTGGGGTTTAAGGTTTATGGGGTTTGGGGCTTGTGGGGGTTAAAGGGTTTGGAATTTAGGGTATAGGGTTTGGGGGTTTATAGGGTTTAGGGTATAGGGTTCGGGGTTTAGGGTATAGGCTATAGGGTTTGGGGTTTAGGGTATAGGGTCTGGGGTCTAGGGTAATTATAGGGTTTGGGGTTTCGGATTTAGGGCATTGGGCAGATACATGATCCTGGGATCTATCGGTGTGCGTCTACGATTTGGCTGACCTGGCGATTGCGCCTGGGCATGTCGCAATCCAAGCCCACGCTGAACAAGTATACAACGTGCTGGTCAGGAACATCAGTGCGCGTATGTTGGGGCTGCCTATTGAGGAGACTGGCTGATTAGCAGCCAAAACCGTTTTTCCAAAGACTCGTATATCATATATCACATAGGCATTCGTGGGGTATACAGCAGGAGTTGCATGGCGGCGGTGCTCGGAATCAGCGGCGGATGGCTAGAAACACACTCTTGCAGAGAGGGTGGGGCATCGGCACAAGGAACATCTACAGCCGCAAGTAAAGCTTGCATTAAGAACCAACCGCCCCATGTTGTAACTGCAACATAACAGTAGTTATCAGGTTCTATTTTGGTAATTAATTAAGCAGTTTCACAGCCGATTTCTTTACTTTCGCAAGTGTGGCCTTGTACTCAGTCTTGCGGAACGGCAACTTGAAAAAAATGACCAGCATATCAAGCTTCAGGCTTAAGCGTTGTTGTGGGGCTGCTGGATTTGTGTTAGGCATTTGACGTGCCATCACATCCAAGCTGCCTAGGCTCTTTCGGACTGGTCTCGTTCGCATGGAGCTCATTACATCTCATTACCAGTCAATGAAAAGAGTTTTCATAACACCCTAAAGCTCTAAACCCTAAAGCCCTAAGCCCTAAAGCCCTAAAACCCTAAACCCTCAACTAGAAGCTCGATAAGAGTTTGCGGATTTTCCCCCAGTTTTCTTGTCATTCGCCTCTTTTTGGGTCCAGGATCCATGTTGCCATGGCTACGTGGCTGGGGACCAACATCGACTCGTGGGATGAGGCGGATGCACCGTGATTTAGGGTAAGGGTTTAAGGTTTAGGGGTAGCACATGGTGTACTTCTTCAAGCCAGGCAAAGGAAGCACGGGCTCGGGCGGATGCAGGGCATTTGGCATCGCAGTTTTAAAGTTGGGTGACACTCCAACCCTATAACTGTATGGCTTTCGACAGACCCCTGAAGTATCCGGTAGCAAGAAGCAACTGACTAGACACACAAGCATCCGACAGGTTCAGGAGATGTTCTCCACCCATGCACCAAAGGACTGCTGGCCCGTTTAGTGTTGCAGCTGGTGGAGTTTATCATTTCCTTTCTGATGAGGCGAGAAGTTAGCAAAGTTAGCAAAGAACAGGAGAGGTGTTTGGACATTTTATGATGGGATT